ACTTTCAAACTCCAACACTGCCATGCTGCCGTGGTTGTGTCCTTCACTCAAGACTCTTAACCTCTTATTTATATCCTTTTATTTGCTCAGTTGTATACTGTCTCAATTTTAAGTTGCCTTAAAATATTCCCTGAGCCCAAATGGGAGATACAAAAATGAGATACAAAGGCAAATGGAAGAACCCAAAAAAAAAAAAACCCCACATAACAGGAGAGTAGTGCTCGTCGAACTGGTAACTGCAATATTATAGAGGAAGACATGACATTTATTCAGTCAATATTTGATCAGGGTTTATTTCTACTTAATATCTCTGAAAGAGAATAAATATGGTATAATTCAGTGAGCCTGTAGGGTACCTGGAGGACTAGTGGTTAGGCCTCAGCACTCTCACTCCCACTATAGGTCCTAAGCCTGGGTGGAAAATTGGGGACTGTGTCAGGAAGGGCATCCGGGATAAAAACTGTGCCAAATCAAACATGCGGACCAATGATCCGCTTTAGCAACCCCTATTGCCAGCAGCCAAAAGAAGAAGAACAGCAATTCAGTGAGCCTGTGGCCTCAGATTCCTGTTCTTGGGTGACAGGAGTGGAAACTGATATGGCCTTCTGCTGTTATAGCCCATCCACCACAAGTTTTGAGGTTTTGAGCATTCTGGGATGCCTTTCTACTCACCATGGCTGTAAAGAGTGATTATTTGAGTTACTTTAGCCTTCAGCTTGAACCAGTCTGGCTATTCTCCTCTGACCTCTCTCATTAACAAGTCATTTCCGCCTGCAGTCCTGCCACTCATGTTTTTTGTTTTTCACTCCATTTTGTGTAAACTCTATAGACTGCTGTCTGTGAAAAATCCAGTAGATCAGCAGTTTCTGGAAATACTCACACCAGCCCATCTGGCACCAGCAACCATGCCATGCCCGTTGATGTGAACATTAACTGAAATTCTAGAAATGTGTCTGCATGATTTTATGCAGTGCATTGCCAGCACGTGATTGGCTCATTGGATAATTCCATGAATGAGCAAGATTCAGGTACAGATGTTCCTAAAAAAACAGCTGGTGAGTGTATATTACTGATACCAAATCAAGCATGTTTTAGATGTATATGTAGGAAAACTATACATTACTTTACATACTTGGGTGTGTACCCAGTTATGTGATTTTATTTTGTCTCTAAATGAACAATATTAATATTTTTGGGGAAAAAATCTTTCCAGGTAAAAAGCTTCCATGCATCAGAGTCTAAATAAAACTTCTTAAAGGTTTTTATCAACACAACATTCTTATTAAAGTGAAACACAAGAACTAAGCAACTAATTAGGAAACTATTATTTTAAAAGCAGAAAAGAGAGCCTGTGCACTGAAAAGGGTAAATCATTGCAAGTTTTAAGAGAAGCTGCAATTCTTATGAAGATTATGCAGCTAATTGTGCTTTGTAAGTCTTGAGAATAAAGTCATTTCACAGTGGGAGGTATCTATAATAAACTCTGGCAGCTGAGCGGTATTTGTTTCTCCCCGTGTGAGCCCACTTTCATTCTGCCATTCAGAATGTACACACCTGAATCTTTCATTTGTCATTTGTATGTGGTGAATATAATTCACAAGTCTGTTGTCGTCCACTCTTTTGGTGTGGGCTGTAACAGGTTCTGTCCAAACACACGCTTCATGCCATGTGCGCCAGTGATGTCAGGCTCTGTGCTGGTTCCCTCTGTGTTCCCACATCTCACAACTCCCTCACACTTTCTTTCTCTCTTTGTCACTCTCTGTCTCTGACTCTGTCTGTTTTTCTGAGGAAACCATATTCCCACGGTTGTCCATTTTCATAGAGTTCTTGAGGGTGCTGTGCAGGGTGTGAATACTAATGATCATGACGTGTGCATCTGCACTTGTGTGTGTTTCTATATTTTGCAGTTTGTGTGTGTGTGCATATGCGTAGGCTTAATCCCTGGTCTGTCAACATGCTCTGAAGGCAAAATGTCCTTTAAGTATTCTATAAGCATTCCTTACATGTACTTCCAGAAAACATATTGCACAGAGAGTCTAGCACGCATGCACACACACACACACACACACACACACACATACACACACACACACACACTCAGGAGATATGTCTTATGCTGAAAATAACCCATTTCAGTGTCTGTGTGTGCGTGTGTATGTATGTGTGTGTGTGTGTGTGTGTGTGTGTGTGTGTGTGAGTGTGTGTGTGCGTGTGTATGTATGTGTGTGTGTGTGTGTGCTTGCATTTTTTGAGCCTGTATTTCCACTGCACTCCATTCTTTGTTCTTTCATTCTTAAATATAGAGCCTGCAGTGCTGCTGCTCTACCCAGTCCTTTTTATTTTTTTCTCTCTCACCTCCAGCCAGCACACTCCCCCTCTCTATCCTCCTCTTTCTCTTTTCCTTCTTTCCATTCCTATCTTTCTTGACTATGCTATTCTAAGTCTGACACCAGGCTGCTGATGTAAACCTAAAAGCACCGGAATCATTTCTTTTTAACAAGCTCGCTGAGCTACTTGTTTCCGGTCAGTCACACCTTGCTGTCTCAGGAAGGGAAAACTCCAAGTCCCCAGCACATTATTTGCTAAAATAAACCAACCATTGAAGGAATGATTTTTATCTCCAGCACTAGCAACTGGAGAAGACTCCCTGTACCACCATTCATCCTTATTACCTTTATTACCTCTCTGATGGCTGAAACTCATTTACTCATTAAGTAGTGAGGCTAATGATACTCAACCTACAAACAAACACAAACTCCTTATGTTAGAATACAAAACACATAAAATACCAAAAGATCGATACATGTTTTTTTTTTAATTATATTAATTAAGTTAAATGATGGGTTAACGCTATTTTTGACAAAACAATGCATCTGAATTGAACCATATGTGACCTCAGTAGACTTAAAAACAGAAAAGCATCTTCACCCTGAAGAATATATATAATATATGTATATATATATATATTAGTGATTCTGGTTGCATATCTCATAAGAGCAAGAGCTTCTTTTCTCACTCACTATTTTTCATCAGTGTTAAAGGTCATATGAAAAAATCCATCGTAGGAGTAGTGGAGACTAGTAGAGTAGTGGTATCTCTTGAAAACAGACTAACGTCAATAAACGACATTTAAACAACACAACATAACCTCAGTATTTCATTGCAAAATACATCTCGGATATCATGGAAGATCAGGTTAAATATAAAGATTAATCTGCAAGTCATTCGGGGTGAATGTATCCCTTAATTATGACGTTCTAAATAGACTTTGCTTATGTGAGTATTGCTGTTGCTTGTAGACCTAGAAGAATCTAGCATTACTATCAAGCTAACAAAGTAAGCAGGACCTATCACAGCAACAATAAAGCTAGAATTAACAGACACTGTGTCTGTACATGATGTTCTACACATTCCATGATGAAGAAAAACTAGCAAGTTCTACTTCAGCACCACAAAAGCTTGCACCAAAAAAGCATTTTTATTGCTTTGACCTTCTCATTGGTGCAAGATCAATGGAAATGTATGCGAGTACTGGGTTATAAAGAGGCCAAAATTGAGCCAGAATGAAAATGCTAATGTTACAGCTTTAGTGCATCAATACAAACATCAGAAAAGAAACTTGGAAAAAAGCCACATGAGGTGAGCATGTGCAAAGAGAACAGTCTGTCTAAGGAGTTTTGTACTTATTTATTTAATTATTTATTGTGATATTATTATGTATTTTGCTATTTTGTGTAGTGCAATGGTAGATCAGGGTTTAATGTTCTTGGCTTTTGATTGGAAGAGTGAAAGTTGAAATCCCAGCACAGCATAGCTGCCATTGTTGAGCCCTTAAGCAAGACTTCTTCTGGGCCACAGTACCACAGCTGACCCGGCGCAATGACCCCAACTTCCTTCCAAACTGGACAATATGAAGAAAAGCGTATGGTTGCTCCGCAGTCTGATCAGCTATGGTTTGTGATATTGTTACAGAGCTATATTTATGTTTACATTTATTTTTTTACATTTATTATTAGCTGAGAGCTAATTGAGGATGACAGGAGTGGAGTAATTAACTTCTAATACCATTTTCATTAACTATTTTATGTAGTTGTGATAAACTGTGTTGATTGACAACCCCTAGACAGTTGCTAGCTACAATTTTGCCTCTGCACTTGTACTGGGTCAATGATCATTCAAGTCTTTGGCTTTTTATTGCTCTCTGTCTGCTCTTTCATAATATATCAACTTGCTACATTGATTAGTTAATGATGCCTTCAACCTTTAACCTAGATTACTGACATTGTGTCCTGTGTAGAGTTACTGTTTATGTTCTACCCGTATGTGTGTGTGTGTGTGTGTGTGTGTGTGTGTCGGTTTCCTCTGGCTTTTCTGTGTCATCCCATTTCTGAAAGAAAGGTAGGTGTATTGGCTACTCTGAATTGCCCCTGGGTGTTAATGAGTGTGTGAATGTGTGTGCATGGAGCATTCAGAGTGTATATTTGCCTCATGCCCAGTGGTTCCCGAATAGGCTCCGCATCCACTGCAACCCTGATCAGGATAAAGCTAAAGATTACTGAATGAATGAATGAATGTTTTATCTGAAGTAATTCTAAGGCATTCCGTCACGTATCTTGCTGGTATCTTGCTAGCTTTCTTTGCATAGCCAGATAAAATTGGCACCACTGATCTAGCAAAATCAGACAATTATTATTATTTTTTTTTTTTTAAGTAGGCCTACTTTCTGTAAATTTTTTAAATTAAATTTGATAGAAATATTTATACGTGTAGATGGTTACTCTTAGTCCAAGCATGCAGCAGGCAACCTAGCTAGTAATCTTGCTAATTAGACATTGTTGTTCTTCCAGCTGCTCCCACTGGGGGTCTCCACAGCGGATCATTGGTCCACAATGTTTTTATGCCAGACGCCCTTCTTGATGCAACCCTCCCCAATTTTTAGCCAGCCTTAGGACCGGCACTGGGAGGGCACTGTCATGTGCAACCCCAGGGGCTGGGGCTGGTTCCTTGGCCGGGAATCAAACCCAGGCAGCGGAGGTGAGAGCACAGAGGCCTAACCACTAGTCCTCCAGGGACCCTGTCTTGCTAATTAGATAGCAGTGTATATTATGCTTGCTAATCAGTTTATCTCAATTTAACAGAGTAAGAAGTTCACTGAGATGAAAATTGCCAAAAATGGACTATTTTTTTTTTTTACAAGTAGCAAGAACTGCTGAACCGAAATCAATCAGAAACTCTAGTTTCTAAATATGAACCAATTTGGCTTCTGTAGCAGATTTTCTGTTAATGTATCTAATCACATGCATTTATGTATGTCATTTAGCTTAAGGCAGTTCATCAGACCAGAGACTAGCTACAGAAGTGTTAGAGACATTACAGCAAAAAGGGAAACATTTTCACAGAAAGTATTCACAGATTTTTTTTTTAAACTTAAAAAAAAAAAGTTGACAAAGTGGTGTACATTTTGTGAGTGCACAATTTATTCTCCCCATGTCAAAGTCAAAACAAATATTTCATTTGTTCATGACACTAGTCAAGTGGCACCATGAAACACTACTAAGAAACAAAACATAACCACTTCAGATTGCCTTATTTATATCCATAAACTAATCGATAATGGTTATTCATTAAAAGGTACCTACTGTCACCATTCAGTCATTTTATGCAAAAGTAGCTCAGGCCACTAGCACAGACCTTCACTGAACTATCACCGCCTCAAACAGCATTAGCTGAACAATTTACAACAAAGTTTGAACATGCCTCATGAGCATCATGAACACTGTGAAGGCAAATAAGATCATGATGAAAACCAAATGCCAGAGTGATTTGCATTTCACATTTATTCACTGCTCTTGGTATTGGTCATTACCAGTAGCTAATCTGCACAGAAGGGTGAAGGGTATTTATTTAATTGGAATGCTGTGAGGTCCTGTTGAGGTCACCTGACTTTCCAAATTCCTTTCTTTCTGTGTCTCCTTTTGAGTTGTTTTCTCTTCACTTAATGTTCTTTCTCTCAATTTCACCCCTCTGTCTTCTCTAACTCGTCTCTCATAATTACTTCCCTGACAAATATCCCCTCCATTGTCATTTGTTTTTACCTATCTCTGTTCCTTCCTTCTGTTTTTCCATTTTCACTCTCTCGTTAGGGGGTTTGACTTGCCATCCATTCTTTCCTGGTAATTTTCTTCCTTTTTTTGATTGCTTCGACTTTACATATGATCTCTCCATTGTTTCATCCACCCAGCCAGATTGAATCCACCTGGCCTTTCTCTTCTCACCTGGACAAGCTATCTATCATTACACAGGTGTCAGGATGCTTGATGGTCCCTCAAGCCATTGTCTAGAATCTTATCCCAATATTGTTCATCTCTCCATCTCTTTCTTTGACCCATACACACTCACACACACATACGCATGCACACATGTGTACACACAGGCCCAAGGGAGATCATTATCACCTCCACCTGCCCCCAACACACACACACTTGAGACATGACGGTAACACTGAGCTGTCAAAACAAATCCGGGGATCAGGGTGAGACATCGGTCTGCTCTAAAACACACACACACACACACTTGCATACACAGTCTTATGCAAGCATGCTGCATCCACACGAACAACATGCTTTTAATTCAGACGACAAATCAATGAATGAATATGTCAATAAACTAGCAATATTCGAATTACTTCTGCTATATTTCTGTTGTGTCTGATGTCTATGGAGGGATGTGTGAGTGCGTTTGGGGTTGGGGAGGAGAGCTGGGGGGTGCATGTTTTTGTATCCTGGTGGGGACCTAAAAATCTCCACAAGGATAGGAATATCTGACATTTTTGACTTTGAGGGGGCTTTTTATATAAAAAAAGAACCGAAATGTTTCCTTTTGTTTTCTAAAATTAAAGTTATGGTTAGATTTAGGTGTAAACATCGCATTAAGTAGCTGCATTAACAATTATGTTAAAAGAAAGGATAGTGTGTATGTGGGTGTAAAAAAACAAGCTCAATCAATAACTCTACTGGCTGAGCCAAGCTCTCTGTCCATTTTAGTAAAAGTACATGGACACAGTAAATAGATGCCATACTGCCCTCTGCTGCTTCTGTTAAATCCCTTACAGTATTGTTACAACATGTAATTATATATAATTAGCTATTCCTAACCAGCTATGGAGGGTCAGAGAGCCTATGGTTTGTTTATGATTTGTCTCATGGACGTTAATAACCATCCATCCATGTCCACTTTGACCACAATCGGTATTCATCCTGAAGCTCACAACTTCTTCTAATGCATATGCCCAGTAACAGAGGCACCAATTTACAACCTCAGATAATATGATGTGCAGCAGCCAGCAAAACACATTTTAAAGCGTAGGTAAATGAGACACTTTGAACATTCTATCATCACAGGTATCTCAACCAAGATGGTTTCATTACATATCACAATGTCTCACCCTGATGAACAGTCTAGTTAAAATGTAAGCACGGATCTTGCGTTAAACACAATGACCAAAAATGAACTAAAAATCAATAGAACTCAAATACCCTAACACCACCACCACAAACAGCCAAAAACAGTTGAACTCTCACAGTAGTAAGTACCTGTCCAAATTACATTTTCAGACTGACCCTGGCTACCCGACAAAATAAACAAATATTGAACATTCTCTACTCTAGCTGTCTAATTGCCTGGTAAGGAACAGAACATTCACCGATATTTGGAGGTTAATTATTGTGTGCCAGCATATGAATTAATGACATGAAAATGCTGAGAAAAGCTTAGGTTTACAATTGATTTCTTTTTTTAATCAAGAGTTGCTGCTTCCAAACTGTATGATGCCCCTGCCTCATTACACGGATCTCAGTTAGAAGTGTCCGTCTCTGGTCCTGTATTTTCAAATTCTGGTGCAGTTTGGTGTCACACATCTAGCAAAAGTGGTGAGTCATATCAGGTGTGTTTGCGCAAGGAAATGTCATATTACTCCCTGAAGTCAAAATTGTTTAAGGTGGTGTCAGACTCCATCTGGTCTCCACCCCTCTTTGTGGTTTTCATGGACAGGATATCAAGACAGCCAAGGTTAGAGAGGTTTCCAATATGGAGGGCTAAAGGTCCCTGTTGTTTGCAGATGGTGCTGTTTGTTGGTACCATCCAAACTAGACCTCTGATACATACTCGAATGTTTCACTGCTAAATGTGAAGCAGCTGTGATGAAAATTAGCGCATCCAAATACAGCCATGGTTCTCTCCCAGAAAAGAGTGGGATGCTGTCTTCAGGTGAGGGGGAAGACCTTGCCCCTGGTGGAGGACTTTACATATCTTGGGATCTTATTAACGAGTGAAGGAAAAAGAGAGCATGAAGCTGAAAAATGGATCAGGTCACTCGTAGCAGTGTTTCAGTCACTGTACAGGTCTGTGATGGTCAAGCAGGAGCTCACTTTTTGACAAAGTTCTCTGTTTACCGATCAATCTCTGGCACGCGCCTCAAAAGATTAAGCTTGCAACTTCAATAAGGTTCCTCTGCAGGGTTTCTGTACTTACTCTCCATGAGAAGCTGGACAATTAGGGAGAGCCTCAGAATAGGGGTGCCGCTCCTCTGAACTGAGAGAAGCTGGTTGAGGTAGTTTAGGCATCTTACGAGGATGCTTCCTGGTCTGCTCCATTCAGTGTTATCAGGCATGTGCCACTCTATAGAGGCCCCAGGACATACCCAGGACACACTGGAGAGATTATCTCTCACAGTTGGATTAGGAACATCTGGGAATCCACGAGGAGGAGCTGGAATTTTTGTGAACACAGAAGTCTAGACTGATCTTCAGGACTGAACCTGTTGTCAAAGCAACCCCCATGAATGAATGAAATAATTGCTATAACAACTTTGATAGTTGTTTCTACCACTGTAATGTCATTTTGAAAAAACAAACAAACAAAACAAAACTAACCCCATGGACCCTCTCTTTAAGAGCAATGGGTGATGGATTTTTCTCTATTTTTTGACATCTGTATTGTGTACATTCATCTCATATCAGTAAACGACTCATGCACCTCCATCTAGTAACAGCACAAGCAAGACTTAAATCTGATTATTAGATGTCCTTGCAAATCTGGAAATTTAAAAGTACCTCCTGCAAAAATGTCAAGTGAAAAAAGGAACATGAGAAGCTTGTGCAGCAAAGCTTTTACAGTTCCACCACTCTGGCATTAACCTGTAACCTATCATGAGTGGGATAAAAGTATCGATGACAGCTTTCAAGCTCCCAGACACTGTCAAACTTGGAGGTCAACACATTGCCATTTAACACTGCCCTATGGTACAAATTTCATGGACTGAGATTGGTCTCCTAAAACATCTTAAAGCGAAAAGAAAGTGGTTAAAATCAATGGCTCCTCTTGAGCTCTTCTCTATCAGTGTGAACTTAAACAGCGGGATGCTTTGTCTCACCCCAACTTTTAAACTTTACTTGAGAAAATGTTGCAATAGATAGTAGACAGTAACCATGGCTACATTAATTAACTGTTTGTTGGGCCAGTTGATTGGAGGGATTGCTCTGGATGGCGGAACAAGACTTTAATCAGCATGCTAATTTCACCTGCAGAGAACAAAACTGCCGGCAGCAAGATGATACCGTAATTAGGATTAAATGTCCTGCCAAATGCATTCTCTCGATGGCTTCCAAAAGAACAGACAAAATTAAGAAGTTACTACCGAGATAGTCCAGGAATCGGAAACATATTATTTGGTTAATGAGAAGAGTGTAAGAGAAGCTTTGGAAGGCTTCTGTCGTCAATTGACACTCCCAGTTTTCTCTAAAAATAGTTGGTCAGGACACAGAAAGTGCAGCTGTTGCTAGGCTAGTTTACTTTAAGAGGTGAAAAAACATACCCACAACCCCACTTGGACAGAATGCATAATATCTTGCAGATACATGTCCACATCAAACATTAGAATGGTGAAAAAATGTGACTTTAATTGTTCTTCATCTGTCCAGTTTCGGTGAGCCTGTGCCCACTGCAGCCGCAGCTTTCTGTTCTTGGCTGACAAGAGTGGACAGATGAAGAATGGCATAACATCGCCTGGTCTGAT